CAAGGCATGAATACTCCACAGCAACAGGCATCAGTACCTTTATACTACAACAACACTGCAGGGACTAATGACAGTGATTCCTCCGCCACCTCTTCATCGGCCTCTGCTGCTGCTGCCCCTCAACTTCCGTATTATTACTACGATCCTAATACTGCTGCTGCTGCTGGCAATGGGCAAGGTGTTCCCATACCCTCGACACAGGCTTATTACTACTACTATCCCCAGCAGCAGTACATGCAGGCTTACAGTCATGCGCAACAACAAGAGTCTACACCAGAAGGAGTGGGACAAGCTTCATATGAGGCTGATGGGATAGGTGAACAGCAAGAACAGGAGGACGATGAGGAGTCTGATGAGGATGTTGTTGATAACGATGATCAGCGTAAAGGGAGGAGGAGGCCTGGATTAATTGCTAAGCTTACTACACCGATACAGAAGACTACCACCACGACGAGCGATGTGCACATACTTCCTACTCCTGTTATTAATACACCTGAGGACGGTGTGGGATCTGTTGAGATTAATCACAGCGGTGAAGCAGGGAAGGATGGTATTCACAGTGAACAGAAGGAAGGATCTGTGAGGGATCGCTGTGTGAAGGGGGGCTAACATAACTATATGAATTTTAGGTGCTCACTTCTGGTGTGATAGCACAGGACTTGGGATCAGCGGATAAGGCGGATATTGTGGTGAGGAATACTGGTATAAGGGGATTGGCATGATGATCCTAACAGGTCACCGAAAAAGGGGCTTTCGATGCCTATGATCATCCCAATGATAGCTCTAAGAATACTGCAACGACCAGTAGCAGTAGGAGCAGTAATGCTGAGCACAATAACCACGGGCAGCATAGGACGCCGCCGATACAGGGTGGTGAAGTACCCCCTTCACCCCCGGCAGCACGGAAGGTAGGTGTCGCCGGCCAGCAGCATGGCATCAAGAAGCAACACGCCATTGTTATTATGATCAGCCAACTGGCTTGGTGTCGGCTTGGGGTACACGACTACCTGTGGGTAAGTCAGCCACAACACCTCCTGCATCGGAGGTGGTAGAGCATGGCTCGAGTACTGAGCATGGTGCCACCAGCAGTGATACACAGCGAACAGCGGCACCAGTTGGGGCGGTGGCCAAAGGTGATCAGGTAGCTGGTACAGTAGCTGTACATTTTATGGAGGCAATGCAGATCATTGCTGGTGAGGGGTTACAGTCCTTTAGAATGTTGT